TCTTTACAGTTATTCTACAGCTCTGATGATGATGATGATGTCAGGAGTGCTCATTTTAAATGATCCTGTCCTTACCCAGAATACTTCTGTCTGTGGTTGGCGTGACCCCTGTCCGAGGTCTCAGGGTTACAGGAGGGATCTCCCTCATGCCCACAAGAGCACAGAGCTCTGGGAAATCGGCTTCAAGATTGCCAGTGCACTGGTAGTCCTCTGGGGGTGTGAGACAGAGACACACAGAGTATCGTACAGGAACACGAGAGTACAGGAGCCACATTATAACAGGAAGATGTAATAGATGTAGTAAAAGACTCTTACCTATACTTTGTACTGCAGATTTCTCCAGAATATTTAGTCCTTAGTGCAGTGCAGCAAGAAAAAGAGAAAAATAAAGAGACAGAGATAAAGTGGCCACAGATGAGACCCTTAACCTCACACCAGAGACACCTCCGAGCCCAGATTCAGAGAGGTAGGAGGACATGGACTCAACAAAGACTAGAAATCCAGAAGTCTTGTTTTAGACTTGTCTTAGCCTGGAAGATTTGCTCAGAGTAAGGGAACAAGCTTGAAATCGCCATTCCCTAATGAGCCATGCAGCTGGTAGTACAACTGTTTAGTAATTTAAACATTGTGCACAAAACAAAAATGTCACTTATTTCACCAAGTCCTTTATTGTTTATGTCATCGAACTAATATCTTACCAGTACTCTTGGAGGAATCTTCCTCTGTCCCAGAATGCCCTCTGTCTATCTTCTCTTTTGGAGCCTTCTCTAACTTCTTTCCCATCCTGATTGTAGCCCTACAGGAAATCACATGATCATATGTCTGTACTTTAGCAAGAGGGAAGTAGCAAAATAAATATTAGTTCCATACAATATGTTCTGTTACAATGGTGGCTACAGTCCCAGTCCAGTAGAACAGTCTTGTTACAACAGGGGTAACAGTCCCAGTACATTAGAACAGTCCTGTTACAATAGAAACTACAGTCCCAGTGCAGTAGAACAGTCCTG